AAAAACAGCGCTGTGGGATGGGGGGTGGGAGGGGTAGGATGACGGGTATGACGCGAGCGCACTGATCTTGTCCCTCACCCCTCTCAGATTATCCCTCACCCCTCCCCCTCCCCCAGCTCCTCCCCCGGTGTCTATTATCGCGGTTGTGCTGTCCGTCATGATGGGGGGTGGGAGGGGTAGGATGACGGGTATGACGCGAGCGCACTGATCTTGTCCCTCACCCCTCTCAGATTATCCCTCACCCCTCCCCCTCCCCCAGCTCCTCCCCCGGTGTCTATTATCGCGGTTGTGCTGTCCGTCATGACTGATTACCCTTGGAGTTGGAATTTAGGGGGTCGAGGAGTCGACTGTTCACACATACATTTCCCAATCCGCCCGACCTCCTCACACTTCTTCTCCTCCTTTCCCTCCTCCGCCTCTTCCTCTCCCTCGCTCATCCCCTCCCCTCCTCCCCTCCCGTCATCTATCATCCTCGACCTTCTCTACTTCATTATTTCCTCCCCATTTCCTCCCTACGCCATCCCTTCCTCCTCTGGTCTCCTCTCCCCTCTCCTTCCCCATCCCCATCCCGCCTCAACCTTAGCGGAGGCGGCGGAGAAGGGGCGAGAGGGGGGGGGGGGCGATCTAAGTGCGTCCCCTCCATCGACACGATACCCCTCGCAATCATCCCTTCCCACTGCGTTGAATCCTTTGATATCCGCCGACTAGGACGCTTTCGGGGACATTGGCCCGCAATTGTCACATGCAAGATTCGACACATCGCTTGCTGCGCAGTCCGACAGGGGGGGGAATTTGTACATTGAAGAAGAAGAGAAGAAAGCGGATGAAAAGGAGCAGGAGGAGGCGGAAGGGGGAGGAGCAGGAGCAGGAGCAGCAGCAGGCGCAGAAGGAGCAGGAGAATTAAGAGGACCAGGGGAAGGCAGAGAAGGCAAAGAAGGGAGACTGCACGACAAATCGGATAAGTGTGGCCCGCGCTGAGGCGATAGCGCCACTCTGACCGACGGGAGCAAAGCACCGACGATGAAATGTAGCCAACGCCGCAGCGTGAGCACTGTTCCCCCATCACTCCTGCCTTCTCAATTTGAATCCGCAGCGCCGTGCGTCTCACCTCCCGCTAGCCCCTTCCTCCTTCCTCTGCAATCCCATCCGCATGCCCATTTCGGCACACCCCTCACACGTGCCGTGGCCCCAAGCTCCGAGGCCCCAGCGGCATGGTCTTTCACAGAGTCTCCCGCCCATGTCAGCACGCCCATCCCACGTGCCGCAGCCCCACAAAGAGCTCTACCGAAGGCCTCAATGTCATGGTGTTGTACAGCGTCCCCGCCCCCCATGCCGGCACATCCTTCACACGCTTCGTGTCCCAAACAGGAGCTCCACCGAAGGCCCAAGCGCAGGGTGTTGCATAGCGTTCCCCCGCCTACTTCGGCACACCCTTCACACGGTTCGTCGCTCCACAGAGAACTTCATCGAAGGCCTCGGTGGCATGGTGTTAAAAAACGTTCCCGCGCCAATGTCGGCACACCCCTCAAGCGTTTCGTGACCCCGCAGGGAGCTCCACCGAAGGCCCCAGTGGTATGATGTTGCATACCGTCCCCGCAAATGTCGGCACACCGCTCACATGTGTCGTGGCCCCACAGGGAGCTCCACCAAAGGCCCCAACGGCATGGTGTTGCATAGGGCCTCCCCCGGCCTGTTTCGACGCACTTCTCACACACGCTTCGTGCCCCCGCAGGAATCTCCACCGAAGGCCCCAGTAGCAAGGTATAGCATGCGGTCCCCCCGATACGATCATGTCGGCACAACCGCCTCACGCTTCGTGGACTCACAGGGAGCTCCATCGAAGGCCTCAGTGGCACGCTTTTGCTCAGCATTCCCAGCCCACCTCTGCATCCTTCACACGCTTGACCCCGCAGGGAGCTCCACTGAGGGCTCCATTGGCCAAGTAACGTACGCGGCCCCCCCAGTCATTCCCGCACACCCCTTACACGTGTCGTGACCCTGCAGGGAGCTCCACGGAAGGCCCCAGTGGCATCGTGTTGCACAGCGTCCTCCCGTCCATTTCGGCACGCCCCTCAAGATTTTCACGGCCCCACAGGAAGCTCCTCCCGTTTCACAGCGCGCTGCCTGTGACGAGGGTTGGGCCCTTAGCCAGGCCAGCCTTGATTGTCAGACGACGCTCTGATCGAAAAACCATACATTGAACATCAACTGGTGAGAAATGCCGCGCGTGCAGAACAAATGCGCGAGAAAGAGAGAGAGGCGGGGGCACCGCTGGACCTTGCCAGGAGGGCGAGGAGAGCAGGACACAAGACTGGGTCATTGTCGAACTGCCGCCGCGCCGCTTGTCGTCGGCGCGCCCCGGATAGACGACGTTGGCACCGCGGCAAGCCCACGTCAAGCCCACCGCGCCCGAGGCGGCGCTTGCCCTGGTGCCCGCGCCGCCCGCCCTCCCCGAGACCCACGGCCGCGAGTCGGAACAAACGGCGCGGCGACACGTACTACGGGTGACTGTCGACCTGGCCTCGCGTTCGGTCGGGCATGTCCCCCTACAGGCTGGCTTTGGAAGAAAAACTAAAAATAGTCAAAAAGTATGCAAACATGATCAGACAATTGTCGAAAAATCGTCCCCCGACTTTTGGGGGTGCTATTTTTGCATATTCCTCCTGTAGAGGGACACGCCAGACTTAAAAGCCTTGCGCCGCCGACACCGGCCGTCGACGCCACTGCTGGGCTTACGTTGCTCCCATCGCACTTAAGGGCCACATCCCAGAAATGATTTCGAGCACCCAGAAAGGTATGGAACCAGTGTCGAACAAGCATCGCCTCCCAGGGCCTGACACGCGACAGCCATCCAGTTCCGGTGCCTTCTTGGAGATCGGAGTTGTTTCTGGTGATCAAAGCGTACACGTCGTTCATTTCTAATCGAACTCATTTCTGATTGTGCTCGCTTCTAACTATTCCTGGCCCCCTAGTGGCCAGGAAGAGGCCCAGGATAAAACGATTAGAAATGAAAGGATCATGGCCCCCCAAAAAATCAATGAATCTTCGAAGAATTAGAAATGAACAGTGTGTATGGAAACAGTGTCGAACGAGCATCGCCTCCCAGGGCCTGACGCGCGACAGCCCTCCAGTTTCGGTGCCTTCTCGGAGATCGGAAATGTTTCTGGTGATCAAAGCTAGGGTACACGTCGTTCATTTCTAATCGTGCTCATTTCTAATTGTGCTCGTTTCTAGTTGTTCTTGGCCCCCTAGTGGCCAGGACGAGGCCCAGGATTGAAGAATTAGACATGAATGGATCTTGGCCCCCCAAAAAAGTCAAAGAACTTGCGAAGAATTAAATCTGGATAACGGGTTTTTATTGTTTAAAGTATGTTTTACACATGGTCTTACATGTTATAAACTTGATTTTACATGATTACAACATGCTCACCACATGTCGTAGACATCTGGAAATTATTTGGCAGCATACTTCCTCTCCGTTGATCTTCCTCCACAGAGCTAGGGTAGGTTGGAATACCATCATGCTGGACTTAAGTCCGGCCTGTCTCCCTACAGGGGGGGTTGGGACGAAATATAATTAATAATAATAATATAAAAAATAATAATAATAATAATAATAATAATAATAATAATAATAATAAACCCAAAAATGGCCAAAAATAGTTTTAAACAAATCGTCCCCAGACTATGTTCTACTATTTTGAATGTTCCCCCTGCAGAGGGGAAGGCCCGACTTCATGCTGATCCCCGGGGGCGGGCCCAACCACGGCCACGGGCCGCCCCGCTGCCTTGCCCCCTGCGCTGCGCAGGGCGCGGCTGCCACCTCCGCGCACGCGCGCCGCTCCCCGCCGGGGCCACGCCCGCCGGGCGGGGGGGCCCCGACGAGCAAAGGCACCGGCAAGCGGCGACGACGACGACGACGACGACGATGACGTTTTCGCCGACGACGACGACGACGACGGAGTTTTCGACGGGGTGACGACGAAGTTCTCGACGGCGACGACGACGACAATGACGACGACGGAGTTTTCGACGGCGACGACGACGACGACGATGCCTTCGATGGTGACGACGCCAACGCCGACGAGGACGCCTTCGACGACGGCGCCTTCGACAACTCGGAGACCTTCACAAGCGGCAGCCCCCGGAAAACTGCAGTCATGGGTCGAAATGTTCTCCGTGTCCCCCCGTGTTCTCCCTGGCGCCCCTGCGGATGGCCGGGGCGGGTGCCGGCGGATGCTCGGCGTCCCCCGCTGACGGGATGGCAGCTTTCCATGAGCGCTTCTGATCGCCGGGGGTCCCGTCGCAGGCGCAGATCAGGTCGAAGGGCTGCTGCGCAGCCGCCGCGGCCTCTGGCCGCCTCCTGCTCCTCCTCGTCCCCCCTCTCTCCCGACTGCCCAGGAGTCTCTTGGCAAGTAGTATCGCCTGTGGGGTAAGCTGGCTGAGCTGGAAGCGACCGACACGGCCCATGTGCAGCTCCCTTTTAACGGGTGCCGCGGTAAACCTCCTGGCCTAAAAGGGACCCCGGTTTTCAAAGACACTGAGCAGTATGTGAAGCACCCTGGGCCTTTTCGGGACCTGGTCGCGTACTGATGCTGTTCGGCAGTGGAGGTCTGCCAGGATCGGGACTCCAGCTGCGCAGCTGCAACGAACTCCCTTTCTTGATGCTGCTTGTACTCGTCGGGCTTCCAGGAAATACCCTGCCAGGACCGCGTACGTTTTAGACGGTTTACACATGAGGCGTTGTTCATGGATGACGGGTGGCTGCCTCCTTCTTGCAGCCATGCTTCTATACGTCGTGGAGTCGACGCTGTGTGGCTTCCCGAGCAGCTGCCGATTATGCAGACAGTCCTGCTGGTGAGGCCGCCCAGCGGCTTGACCCATTGGCCTGTGTTGGAAGCGCTGGCGCCGTGATGGCTCCCAGCTGTGGGCATTGCCGCACGATGGTCGGTCGCTTCGCAGGGCCATCGTCTTCGTCGGCAGCGGGCGTGGTCCAGAAACACTGCTTCCGGCGGGGGGAATTATTGGGCGTTGCTTAATGGGGGGGTCAGAAACGGTCCCCTTTCGTGCCCCTTTCGGGTCCCTCCAGACCCCCAGGGGGCTCGTTTAGGTACCGTTTGGGTACCTTTTCGGACCACCCTCGCCACCCCCCTATTTATGACCCCCCCATTACGCAACGCCCAAAATTAGAACAAATAAAGGTTTCCGGTGACGGGGCAAATTCCGACGGGACAGGACAAAGTTGTACGCAGGCTGCTCCTTGGAAGGACGCGAAACCCACTGCCAAGTGTACCAGGTTGCGTTGTATAAGCTATCCCTGGCGACATATCGCAACGCCAAGTGTTTGTGACAAGTCCTTCTCTGGGCAGACAATGATCGCAGGATGCAGTTTCGCGGCGTCGCGTGTCAAAGTACACTGCGTTTGAAGGAACAGCCAAATTATTTGCTCACCGACCACAAAGCTCGATCAGTACACCGACGACAGAGAATTATCGTCCACTGGGTCGGCGGCCCGGGAGTCTGTTTGAGTTAAAAGGGGCTCTGAACAATTGCATGATGCTATTGTGTACGATATGGATTGTGACGTGCCGTGCAACAAGGCAGCTGTTAACAGTCACGGAGAGGTCACGGATAGCGCAGTTCAGTTTGGGGATAGACGACACCTCAGGCCGCCCTTGCGAACATCCGGGTCATGATGAGCCACTTGGAAGCTAGCACTGAAAATGTCATGTCATATATATATATATATGTTTAAGACCCGAGACAGGAGGCCGACAAATGGCACTGCGAGAGTTCCCGAAGCGGCCGAAAACACTCACCAGACGCCCGAGGACTGCCCTCCAAACGCAAAAAAAGGGCAGGAAGGACACCCCCACCCCGCGCCACCTACCTCCTCCTCCTCCTCCTCCTCCTCCTCCTCCTCCTCCTCCTCCTCCTCTCCTCTCCTCCTCCTCCTCTCCTCCTCCTCCTCCTCCTCCCCTCCTCCTTCCTCCTCCTCTCCTCCCCTCTCCCTCCTCCTTCCTCCTCCTCCTCCTCTCCTCCTCCTCCTCCCTCCTCTCCTCTCTCCTCCTCCTCCTCCTCCTCCCTCCTCCTCCTCCTCCCTCCTCCCTCCTCCTCCTCCTCCTCCTCCCTCCTCCTCCTCCTCATCATCTCATCATCATCATCATCATCATCATCATCATCATCATCATCATCATCATCATCATCATCATCATCATCATCATCATCATCATCATCATCATCATCATCATCATCATCATCATCATCATCATCATCATCATCATCATCATCATCATCATCATCATCATCATCATCATCATCATCATCATCATCATCATCATCATCATCATCATCATCATCATCATCATCATCATCATCATCATCATCATCATCATCATCATCATCCTTGCCTTCCTCCTGTCTGGAGCCTGGAACGGGCTCCAAAAAAAAGGAAAAGCGCCGCGACTAACCCCAGGACCCCACCCCGCCTCGCCGAGGTCGCAGCCCACCGCCCCGACGACCTCGACGGTGCGGGCGGCCAGGTCGAGGCGACCGACCTCGACACCGTGGAAGACGCGCACGCGGCCAGCCCAGCGGCCGCCCCGCTCCTCGGTCTGTGACGACTGACCACAGGTCTTCGGCGGCCCTCGGCGGCCCTCGGCGGCGGTCGGAGGAACTCGGAGGCCCTCCGAAGCCCAAGGAAGCCCCAGGAGGCTTTCAGAGGCCTTCGGCAGCCCTCGGAAGCCCTCGGAGGCCCTCGGTGGCCTCAGGAAGCCTTCAGAAGCCTTCGGAGGCCATCGGAAGCCCCTGGAGGCCATCGGAGGCCCGAAGAGGCTTCCAGAGGCCTTCGGCGGCCAGGGCAGGACGAGTTGCGAGAGCTAAGGGCCACACGGGGCCAGGAATGGCCAGGCGCAGGGCTGCGCACAGACAGGCCCCGGGGCCACAATGGCCGGGAACGTCAGAGCTCAGGGCTGCGCACAGATCCCCCCTGGAGGAGCCCCGTAATGGTCCAGAGCGGTCCCAGCACCACAGCCCGCGATTGGGGACGGGTGGCGCCGCTGGAGGCAGCGCTGGGTGACAACCGGGAGCAACCAAGCAGGCATTCACCATGCCAGAGATATTGCAATCGGCTGATTTTAAACAGGTTGTGTTTGACCTCTGGAGGTGCTGCTTGGCTGCTCTGGGGACCCCATGCTCTTAGGAATGCTTCCAACAGCCCACGGTCCTCGATGTGCTCCTCGAGGCCGCGTACCACGTCCTGCGGGGGCTCCACTCTTGATCTCTGGCGAACCCCCTCACCGCCTTCTTCCCCCGTGAACAGCTACTATCCCATCTACACGCGAAGATGTAGGTCACACAAAAAGATCTTGACGGTCCATACACGTGCGCTTGCGCTTCTGGGATCCTCCTCCTCCTCCTCCTCCTCCTCCTCCTCCTCCTCCTCCTCCTCCTCCTCACTTTCCCCGCCAACTCCTCCTCCGACCTCGATCCGCCGCCGTGGAAATCGGGAACCCCCTCACGAATCCGACGTGCTCGGACATATCTCTGGCTTCGGCGCGAAGCTCCGCGGAGGGATGCCCAAGCCGCCCGGGGAGGCGAACCGCCCCTCCCGCGGGGGGAGGGCCTTCTCCTCCGCGGCCCCGGCCCTCCCTCGGGCGACGCGCGCGCGCCCTCGCGGCCACCTCGCCCCACCCGGCCCTCGCCGAAGCCTCCGCAGCACCAGAGAACGCCGAAGGGCGAGCTCGGGTCGCCGAGGCCGGACCTTCGGCCCGTGGCTCTCTCACCCCCTCGCGGGGAGGCCACCCGCGCCCCGTGGGCGCTGGGGCCGCGAAGGAGGAGGACCAGCAGCGCCAGCCCACGTGCCTTGCCTGACCCAGAGGCCCAAAAGCCTCCCTAGAGTCCCACCAGCCCTCTGGGCCGAGGTGGCTTAGACAGTGTCTTCTGCCGTTTTCCCCCTTCGTCCCCTGAAGAAGCCTCATGAATAAACACCCTTCCCCCCAACTGATTGGAGACAAAACAGGGGCCAGTCGTTTCGTCTGCAACTTCCTCACAACTCATTCAAGAATCGTACTCTACTCCTCCTTAATCAACACACACCCTCCCCCAGCGGATCGGAGACAAACCCGGGCCAGCCGTTTCGCCTGAATGTTCTGCACAATAGCTTCAAGAGTCGCACTCTCGCCTCGATGTCGGCTACATGTTTGGTCTGGACGGCAACGATCTGTTCTAAGCAAGAACACAGAATGCACCTGGCCGTATTCTCGCCTCGGTTCCGGCTGCATGTGTGGTCCGGACGGTCCCAACATTCGCAAAAACAACCACCCTGCGACGCACCCAACCCTTTTTATACATGTGGCGCTTGCATCCAGGACCACTCAACGCTGACGGGCATTATGAAGGACGCGCAGTGCGCAAGAAGAGCACTCAGGAGTGAGGTCAGAAGAGAGCGTCAAGAAGCGGAACAGCAAACATACAACATGGAAGCACAAGGGCGTTGAAAGAAACACAAAAGTGGGGGGCGGCGAGGGCTAAACCAGACCATCGGTTTAACTCAGCAACGCGCCGCGCTGAAAGAGGCAAATGCATGCGGTGCATAACGGGGGCGGAGACTCACCCGAAAGTGGAGACAAAAGGGCGCGGCAGCGAACCAAAACAAAAGAACCCAAAAGTGGAAGCAAAAGGTCGCGGCCTCGAGGATAAGCAGAAGCACCCAGTCACCGCGTGGGAGTTACCTCCGCTGGGCCTCCCAGGAGCGCACGAAAGTGGCGACAGTTGCGCAGATCGCAAGCCCCCCAGGGGGCGGCGAGGTACCGAGGTGATCCGCGTGGGACGTACCTCCGCTGGGCCTTCCAGGAGCCTACGAAAGTGGCGACACTTGCGCAAATCGCAAGCCCCCCAGGGGGCGGCGAGGTACCGATGTGATCCGCGTATGACGTGCCTCCGCTGGGCCTCCCAGGAGCCCACGAAATTGGCGACAGTTGCGCAGATCGCAAGCCCCCCAGGGGGCGGCGAGGTACCGAGGTGATCCGCGTGGGACGTACCTCCGCTGGGCCTCCCGGCAGCCCACGAAAGTGGCGACACTTGCGCAAATCGCAAGCCCCCCAAGGGGCGGCGAGGTACCGAGGTGGTCCGCGTATGACGTACCTCCGCTGGGCCGTCCAGGAGCCCACGAAAGTGGCGACACTTGCGCAGATCGCAAGCCCCCCAGGGGGCGGCGAGGTACCGAGGTAATCCGCGTATGACGTACCTCCGCTGGGCCTTCCAGGGCCCCCCGAAAGTGGCGACAGTTGCGCAGATCGCAAGCCCCCCAGGGGGCGGCGAGGTACCGAGGTGATCCGCGTGGGACGTACCTCCGCTGGGCCTCCCAGAAGCCCACGAAAGTGGCGACAGTTGCACAGATCGCAAGCCTCCCAGGGGGCGGCGAGGTACCAAGGTGGTCCGCGTATGACGTACCTCCGCTGGGCCTCAGTTTGGCAAATCGCAAGCCCCCCAGTGGGCGGCGAGGTACCGAGGTGATCCGCGTATGCCGTACCTCCGCTGGGCCTCCCAGGAGCCCACGAAAGTGGCGACAGTTGCGCAAATCGCAAGCCCCCCAGGGGGCGGCGAGGTACCGAGGTGATCCGCGAATGACGTACCTCCGCTGGGCCTCCCAGGAGCCCACGAAAGTGGCGACAGTTGCGCAGATCGCAAGCCCCCCAGGGAGCGGCGAGGTACCGAGGTGATCCGCGAATGACGTACCTCCGCTGGGCCTCCCAGGAGCCCACGAAAATGGCGACAGTTGCGCGAGGTGATCCGCGTGTGACATACCTCCGCTGGGCCTCCCAGGAGCCTACGAAAGTGGCGACAGTTGCGCAGATCGCAAGCCCCCCAGGAGGAGGCGAGGTACCGAGGTGATCCGCGTATGACGTACCTCCGCTGGGCCTCCCAGGAGCCTACGAAAGTGGCGACAGTTGCGCAAATCGCAAGCCCCCCAGGGGGCGGCGAGGTACCGAGGTGATCCGCGTATGACGTACCTCCGCTGGGCCTCCCAGGAGCCCACGAAAGTGGCAACAGTTGCGCAGATCGCAAGCCCCCCAGGGGGCAGCGAGGTACCGAGGTGGTCCACGTATGACGTACCTCCGCTGGGCCTCCCAGGAGCCCACATAAGTGGCGACAGTTGCGCAGATCGCAAGCTCCACAGGCGGCGGCGGGGTACCGAGGTGGTCCGCGTATGACGTACCTCCGCTGGGCTTCCCAGGAGCCTACGAAAGTGGCGACACTTGCGCAAATCGCAAGCCCCCCAGGGGGCGGCGAGGTACTGAGGTGATCCGCGTATGACGTACCTCCGCTGGCACTCCCAGGAGCCCACGAAAGTGGCGACGGTTCCGCAGATCACAGCCCGACGGCAAGAGAGAAGAGGAGAGGGGAACACAGGAAGCAGGAGAGAAGGAGGAGGAGAGGAGGAGAGGAGGAGAGGAGGTGGAGACCACACTGCTCTATCCAAAACGAGTACCCAACACAGGATGGTTGGGAAAAAGCACGAAGGTGCACATGGCCGTGCCCTCACCACTGTCCAGGCTGCATACATTCTTTCTCAGGGCCTCCCAGCTGTGCGCCTCCTGCTCCTCGACCCGCCTCTTCACCTTCGCTGCTATCAGGGTGCTCTGCTGGGGCATTCCTTGACCAGGACGACTGCCCCGCGTGCGCAGGGACATCATCCCTGCCAGAAACCCTGGAGGAAAAGGAGGAGGAGGAGGAGGAGGAGGAGGGCGCCGTGTGCGAAATGTTCGACCGCGTGCGGGCGCCCTGCGGATGCCCATGGCACGTGGGAAGCGCACCTCGTGGGCGCCGCACACACCTGCACCTGGCTGGCGCCTGCAGTGGTTCTCGCTGGCCTGGGCCAGCGCCAACCGTGCGCTCGGGATGCGGAGGAGGGGGAGGAGGGGGAGGAGGGGGAGGAGGAGGAGGAGGAGGAGGAGGAGGGGGAGGAGGAGGAGGAGGAGGAGGAGGAGGAGGAGGAGGAGGAGGAGGAGGAGGAGGAGGGGAGGAGGACCGTAGAGGGAAGAGAGGAGGAGGAGGAGGAGGAGGAGAGGAGGAGGAGGAGGGAAAGGAGGAGGAGAGAGGAGGAGGAGGTGCGCACTGGGTCAACCATGGCCATGTTGTGAGCCCTTGCGGGCCGCTCGGTAGCTCCCAACCCCAGGCCCGCAAAGGGTGGAGTGGGGGGGATCGGCTCCACGTGGCTCCCGGACCCGGGCCAGCCAGAGGCGTGACCGCCGCCGTGTGGGCCCCGACAAGAGCCAGCTGCGTGACCACCGCTGCGTTGCGTGACTGCGGGGGGGCGATAAGGGAAGCTGGCTCAAGGGGGGAACATCGACCTGGAATCGACGATATATCGCCGACAGATCGGCGATAGACTCTCGATAGCGACACCTAGCGCTCCTGGGCGGGGCGGGTGATCGATCCACGATGAATAGGCGATTGGGTGTCGAGTGGTCCCCCCTGAGCCTATCCACAGTAAGCTTGCCCTGAAAGGATCAGCTCTCGGGCCATCACTCGGGCCTCTGGCGGTCTTTCGACGAGATCTGGGCACCCCGGGAACGCTCCCAGAGAGACGCAGCTGCTTTTAAAAGCACCCCCAAGCTGGGAAGCCGCCGAGAACCGACGGAAACGTTCGAAAACCTCCCACGGGACCCCCCGAACGTTCCCCCCCTCAGGCCGGGAACTTTTGCTCAGCGTGTCGCCACGGCGGCCCCGGCGACACGCCATGTCTTGCGAGTGGATAGCGTGTCGCTCCGCTCCGCGGGGCGGAAGCTCGCGACGTTGGCGCCCGGGGACCGTGCAGTGGATGGATGTGGATAGCGTCTCGCGCCGAAGCGTGGTGGGCCAGAACCGGCGGAGCGACACGCTGAGCAGAAGTCCCGAGGGACCCCCGCTGCGCTGCTGGCGTGGCTGGCGGCCCGCTCGCGGAGGGGCGGCGGGGCCTCTCTTGAGGTGCCATGTGGGACCTGCTCCGGAACATATCGTATGGTAGGTTCGCACGGCGTCGGCGCGCGCACAGGTTTCTGGCACCGGGTCGATCTTCCAGCCCTGAATGGATCGCGGTCCCGATTGTTCAATGCTGAATTCCGTCGGGTCCAGTGGCGTCAGCGTGCCCCGCAGTGCTTCCACGTCGTTCTCTCATGCGGAATTCCACCTTGAACGCCTTCGCCGGCGTCGCCGGCACGCCATCGCCGCATGAACCTACCGTGCTTTCTCCGACCTTGTACTGCGCCGAACGCAACGGCCGCGTTGTCTATAGGCGTCTCCACCCAGACCGTGTCTACATGATCTGTGACGGCATCCACTGTGTCTGTAGACGCTTGTGGCTGGAAGGTGCGAGCGGTGCTTGGCATAGGCCCCAGGTACGGGTGTTCCAGAAGCAAGTAGGCTTTGCCCTCCACCAAGTCCTCCCGCGTCCCGATGAGGCCCGGGCTCCGCATCGGCCGCGGGGCCCTGCGGGCGCAACACGAGCGAAGGCCCCGACTCCAAGGGCACCGTTTTGCACCGAGGCCTCCGACAACGACGACGACGACGACGACGACGACGACGACGACGTGTAGGAGCCACTTCGCATAACCACCTTTCGCCCACTGGCCTTATTGAACTATCGTTCCCTGAGAAACGGGGCCGGTAAAATCTTGAACCCAGTGTCGCGAACGCAATACTTGCCAATGTTAAGGCAAGGGGGAGAGAGGGCGGAATCTGGTTATGGTTCGGGCGCTGTTGTTGCAAAGCTGTTTCTCTCAACCGTCATACCCTGAGATCCGGGCGTGGCAGTTTTCGCACCAGGAGGTTTCGCGCCGTTTCGGGCCCTGGGACCATCACAGATCGATACGGCTCGGCGAGCGCAACGGGAAGACGGGATCGAAGGCTCTGGTCGTGATCACGAGGTTGCAAGCGTTTCGCAACGTCGGAGCCCAAGGTAAAGATCGGGCGAGTAGACCCTAACACGCGGGTCGGAAGGCGGGCCCAGGCGGCCACGTCGAGCAGGCGGGTTGCTGAAGCATGCGTCCTGCATGAATCGCGAGGAAGTCTCGAGCGATAGCGCGATTCCCAAGTAAATCGTGAGATAGGCCAATGCGAGAGCGTGATTCCTGCGTGTCGAGGGCGCGGCGCCTGAATAAAGCGCGACGAAGTCCAACGCGAGAGCACGAGTCCGACATAAGTTGTGAGGAAGTCCCGCGCCAGAGCGCGATTTGGGAATACATTGTAAGGAAGCGTCAGGCGGGAGCCGCTGCTGCTGTAAACTGGGGGCCAGGGGCGCAGGCTGGCGACACCTCGCTCTCCCTTGTAAAAACAAGGTGCGAGCCCCGGGAGAGGCATTTCGATTGAAAAGTACAATGGTTACTGGGAGGTAGGATCAACAACCATTATTCTATAGAAATGAAAAGACAACAACATCAACAACAAGCACAACAACAACAACAACCATAACAACAACTACAACAACAACAACACCACCACCACCAACAACAACAACACTAACAACAATGACGACAGCAAAACGATACCAATAATAACAGCAACCACAACAACAACAACAACAACACCAACAACAATAACAACAACAACAGCAACAACAACAACAACCACAACGACAACAACAATAACAACAACATTAACAACAAAAACAACAACATTAACAACAACAACAACAACAACAACAACAATCACTTTACCCGAACGCTCAGTGTTCTCACCAGTGCCAGGGTTTTCATGCGACGCCAGCCAATACCCCCACTTTGTGGGGGGGCAGTGCAAGCTCTACCAAATATCCACACGACTCTTCGCCACCACCCACACCCAGCTTCCCGCCCTATGACGTTCGGACACTTCACTTCGTGGCCTGCGGACGACCGTGGCTACTACACTGGCGTGGAGTACACACCCACAGAAGTTGTTAGGACAGCGCGCGCGGGTAGAAATTTTGAAAAGTCGTGCAGGTGTTTTTCGAGGACCTACGGTGCGATTCGTGTGATTTTATGATGCGCGGTGCTAAAATTCTTAAGAAGCCCAATGGTTTTTGGAGATTTCGGCGTGCGCGCGCGAAGAAAAAACGAATGTGTCCCGCATGGTATTATTTGACAGGGATGATGGCCCTGGCAGGTGCGCAACCGTTGTCGCAGAAGTTCGAAAAAGTTGCTCGCAAAAGCCCGTTTGACAGAAATGTTTAAAAAGTGTTGGGTTTCCTACGAATCCGCAAGAGCGCGCGGGATGAGATTTTGACATTTTTTTGTTGAAAAACCATTGGTTTTTTGATGTTTTTATGTTAAAATCGCTGCGAACACTAAGCTTTTGGAAGGATTTCGTCTTGCGCGCGCGAATGTCCACTTTACCTTATTTTTTGCAAGGGATTCTTGAAATTTGATTATATTAGAACAAGAAATGTCATTTTATAGTGTTTTTTGCAAGGGAAAGCGGGGGGGAACAAAACAACCGGATCTTGATCACATCGAATTACCTGAGGCTTCCTCACGAAAATGATGAAAATGTAGCTGCGGCCTAGGCGGCGCAGGGGGGCCGTGCACCAGGGGCCCCAACAATAATTATTCTTTAGAATTAATAATGTTCAACAACAACAACAACAACAGCATCAGCAACAACAACAGCAACGACAACCACAACCACAACCACAGCCACAACGACCACAACAACAGCAGCAGCAACAGCAACAGCCACAACAACAGCAGCAACAGAAACAGCAACAGCAACAACAACAACAGCCACAACAGCAACAGCAACAACCACAACAACAGCACCAACGACAGCAACTACAAGAACCACGACAACAACCACAACCACGACGGCAGCAGCAACAATAGCAGCAGCAACAACAACACCAACCACCACAACAACAACGACAAATAAAGCAACCAGCACAACAACAATGGAACACAACAACAGCAACAGCAACAACAACAACAACAGCAGCAACAGCAACAACAAGCAGCTTGAGGCTGTTTGCTCTTATCTGCTCGCGCGTGCCTCACCACGTATATCCCATACCCCCGATACCCGTCCTCTTCGTCTTCGATCGTACTCCCTCTGGAGGGTACACTTTTCCTGACCTGCCACGTGTATTGGGCGCAGCCCCTAAAAGAGCAAGGGGAGTGAGAAGGGAGAGAGAGAGAGAGAGAGAACAAAAAAAAGAGAGAGAGAGAGAGAGACAGAAAGAGAGAGGGAGAGAAAGAGAGAGAGAGAGAGGGAGCGAGGAGAGAAGGAGTGGGGGAAGTGAGGGAGGCAAGGGACAAGAGGGAGGGAACAGAACTGCGGACGAGAGAAGCAGCAATGGGGCCACTGAAGGGCAGCAGCGGCGCCACGAAGGGCAGCAATGGGGCCACTGAGGGCACGAGCGACTGGGGGGCACGAAGGGCGCATACATGGACCACAAAGGGCAGCGAGGGGCCGCTGAGGGCAGCAGCGGGGCCACGAAGGGCAGCGACTGGGCCACAAGGGGAGGGGCCACGAAGGGCAGCAATGAGGCACAAAGGGCGCGAGCGAGCATGGGGCACGAAGGGCATGACCCTGACGGGCGGGCCGAACGGGCGGATCGATCGTGAGTTCTGCGCCATTAGCCAGAAAGTTTCCAGCGAGAGAGCGATTCCTAAGTAAATTTGAAGTCCCCAGCGGACGTGCGAATCCTGAATGGCAAGAGCGCGGCGCCTGAGTAAATTGAGAGGAAGTCTCAGGCGGGAGCGCGATTCTTAAGTAAATTGCGAGGAAGGTCTCCAGAGTGGAGGGCACGACCTCGAATATTGAGGTTTACGTCCTGCGCTGTGGAACGTGAATCTCAGGATTTTGGAGTTGCTGGGCCCTCTGAAGAAGAAGGGTAGGAGAGAGCAAGGAGGAGAAGGATGGCATGGACGGAGGGTAGGAAGGTAAGAGGGGAGGAGGGGAGGAGGGCGCAGGAAGGAGGAGGAAGGACAGGAGGGAGGACTGAGAGCGTGCCAAGCCTCCGAACTTAGTGTTTTAACCTCGACCCTGAAGTGTGTGACTTCCATGCTGAATTTGGAACCTGTATGTTGGACGTTTACGACTCTCTGTGGAGAGGGGGAGAAAGAGGGAGGAGGCGGGAGGAGAAAGGATGAGGGAGGAGGGAGCAAGGAGCAAGCAGCAAGGAGGAGGAAGGAGCGAGAAGGGAACTAGGAACAGGGAGGAGGAGAAGGAGGAGGAGGAGGAGAAGGGAACGGGGGGAGGGTGAGGATGGAGGAGAATGAGGAGGAGGCAGGACGAGGAACGGGAAGGATAAGGTGGAGGATGAGGAGGAGGAGGGATAAGGGAGGCGGACATGAGGTAGAGGAGGAAAGGAAAGATGAGACGAGGAGGATACGGGGGGAATTGAGGAGAGGATATTGAGGTGGAGGGTAAGAAGGAGTGGAGAGAAGGACAGGAGAGTCAGGAGGAGGGAGAGGAGGGGGGAGGGGAAGGAGACGGAGCGGGGAGGAGGAATGGGGATGAGAAGGAAGGAGGGGAAGAGAGGACGAGGAGGAGAAGCTGGTTTCTCTTTCTTCACCGCAATCTCCATCCTCACCTCAAATCCATGTGGTCTGTCGACAAATGCTGTGGTCAACGTCCGCCGCCACGCCACAGGCCATGAGCAGTCCAAGCTCGCGCAGGAGGAATCAGGGAAAGGAGGAGCAAGGGAGAGAGGAAAAGGGGGCCAGGGCGCTGCGCGGAGATTCCCTTCGGCCGATACGGCCACTTACACCATGCAAAAACGCACAACGGCAGCCCTGAGGGAAAGGGAGAGGACGAGAGAGAACGACAAGCCGCAGCGGAGGGGGCGTACACGATGATAGGAATGCATCCCCATGTCGATCAGCCTTACGGTGAAAGCGGAAAATGCAGCAAGAGAGAGAGAGAGAGAGGAGAGACAACAAAGAGAGAGAGAGAGAGAGCGGCAATAGAAATAGAGAGAGGGAGAGAAAAAAAGAGAGGCAGAGGGGGAGCGAGGAAAGGAGCATGATGGACACTAGGCCACAGCGGGAGGCTCCAGTGACCGGCAAGCCTCCAGGATTCGAGGGGCACGGAGACATCGCAACAGACACCAGAACCCAATGAGAAAAAGCTGCGATACTCAAATGAACCACCCGACGGCCGAGGCCACGCGATGTTCGGATGCCCGGGAAGCTAGGCGACCCCGTGGGCAGCTGTCGCCTGGACAGGCGGCCCGGCGGAGAGGAGGGAGTCGAGGAGGAGGAGGAGGAGGAGGAGGAGGCGGAGGACGAGGAGGAAGAGGAGGAGGCGGAGGCGGAGGAGGAGGAGGAGGAGGAGGAGGAGGAGGAGGAGGAGGAGGAGGAGTAGGAGGCGGAGGAGGAGGAGGGGGAGAAGGCGGAGGAGGAGGAGGAGGAGGAGGAGGAGGAGGAGGGACAGGGGGAGGACGAGGAGGAAGAGGGAAGAGAAGGAGGAGAAGGAGGAGGAGGAGGAGGAGGAGAGCGAGCAAAGGACAACGTCGAAGACCGCGACGACGACAATCTTCTCTCGTCCTGCGCAACCAAGCGAGATCCTCACTCGTCCATGTACAGTTCGGGGAACCCCTGAAAACATGCGACGAAATCCCAAAAGAAGAACTCCGAAATCACTCCGAACTCAGCCGCCCCGATGCGCAACACGCGACGCGCAGCGTGCTGACGCGGAGCTCAGCACGCAGACTGAAAACGCAGGCCTGGCGCGACACGTTCACCGAAGAGTGGACCCACACGTGCCGAGCCAGCACTAGGAGGAACAAAAGAACGGCATCAACATAAACTTTTGTGACTGCCCGCGCGGATTTCTTGGATCTGGGCTAGAGCCCCCTCCCCGGCGCGGCGCCGGAGGCGCCGCCAGGGGGCCCCAGCGCCGATCCAAGGAATCCGCGCGCGGACTGCCAACAGTTTTGGGCTATGCCGTGCTTTGCTCCTCGAAGCACGCAGCGTGTCAGCGCCAGGGGGCCGCATGCGAACCTTGTACCCCTACCCCACATGCTTTCTGAGGGGCAGGGTGGGGTTCGCTTCGCTCGGGAGCTCCCGAGCGAAATGGACCCCGCCCTCCCCCCCCGGAAACCGTGCGGGGCTAAGGGGCGGGGTTCGCAGTTCGCACGTGGCCCCCCGAAACACGGACGCTTCGAGCACGGCACGTGCTGCGCTGCGGCTCGGGCGCGTCGGGGCAGCTGAGCCTCCAAACCCCTCGCGGGCGCGTCGGGGCAGCCCGCCGGCGGCCTGCCGCCCGGCTCCGCGGCGTGCCCGAGGAAGGGCAGCAGCCGCCGCCGCAGCGCGCCGCCCTCCGGAGCGGCGCCCAGGGCCTCCAGGGCGGCCATGCCGCCGCCGGAGATGTCCACCTGCGGCGGCGGCGGCGCCGCCGCCGAGGACGGGGACGAGGTCACGAGTGCGGACGACGACGACGACGACGACGACGACGACGACGACGACGACGACGACGACGACGACGACGACGACGACGACGGATGTGATTTCGACGGCGAGGGCGACGGCGACAGCGACGCCGACGGCTGCCGTGGCGCCGCCGCGGCGTCTGCGACGCGACGGCGGCGGCGGCGACGACAGCGATGACGGCGGCGACCCTGAGGACGCCGGCGACGGCGACGACAACGCAGAAAACAAACGCGACGTCGGCGACGACGTCGATGACGGCCCCCACCACAATAGGGACAGGCAAACTTCGAGAGCTGAGCTCGGCAACACGGAGATTCCAAAACCTCCCACTCCTTCCCCTCCTACTGGTCCAACTGTCGGGGGACGCCATTTCCTATACACCTGCACCAGTGCTGGCTAGGCGAACCGTGAGCCCAGGATAAGTGTACGTGCTTTCTTTGCTGGCCCCAGAGGGGGAGAGAGGGAGGAGAAGAAGGGGGAAGGAGGAGGGGGAGGGGGAGAAGGGGCGGGAAGAAGGGGAGAAAGAGGGAGCGTATCCACCAATTCTGGGCCCAGTTCAGCCTATCCAGGATCGTCGGTGCATGTTGATGACATACCTTCCTGCGAATCTGGATATTCACGTCGCATACTGAACGAGGTTACCCAGAGTCTGTTCGCCTCCTTCTCCCCCCGTCCTCCACACGACAGAGGAAAAGGATGGAGGAGGGAAGAGGGAGGAGGTGGAGGAGGAGGAGGAGGAGCAGGAGGAGCAGGAGGAGGTGGAGAAGGATGAGAGGAGGAGGAGGAGGAGGAGGAGGAGGAAGAAGAAGAGGAGGACGGGGAAGGGAGGAGGGAGGAGGCGGGAGAGAGGAGAGAGGGAGGAGGAGGGAGAAGCCGCCAACGTGCCATCGCAAACACCGCCCGAAGCTCAGCCCAAGACGGCACAACGACCCCCCAAAGGCTCAGAGAAGTCCAGCAAGGTCTTTAAGAGCCGATTACCCAGGGATGTCCGCAACCTACTTGCAACAGGTGGGGATATCAGCTGGCTCCACTCATCCAGGACGAATGAACATCTGAAAAAACACGTTGTCCATCATGAGAGCTGCATGGCAGACCCGTGCACTGTGTGCCCCGAGAAACCTGTATGCGTTTCGGCCCCGCGTCTCCTGACCCAACGGACAGCTTCTGCGCTCTCTCACACGATGGTTTTCCCCTGGTTCGCGGGCTCTGGCGCGGCCTACTACGATTCCAAATCCAAGTCGCGGACTTGTGCGAGGACGTCCCAAAAGGGAACTCCAGTCCCAGGCACGAGTTTTATTCTTCTTGCGAGGGTGTCTCGAACGGGAACTACGGACTGCACGCCGCGATGGAATTGGGGTGAGATGTGGCATGGCGGCTTGATGGTAACCAACAAGTCCGCGTTTCGGAACTGCGTCTCCTGGCCCAGCGGACGGCCTCTGCGCTCTCTCACGCGATGGTATTCCCCTGGTTCGCGGGCTCTGGCGTGGCCCGCCACGATTCCGAATCCAAGGCGCGGACTTTTTGCCAGGACGTCCCGAAAGGGAACTCCAGTCGCAAGCACGATCTTCACTTTTGTTTTGCGAGGACGTCTCGAACGGGAGCTCCTGACTGCACGACGCGGGGGAACAATGGTGCGATGTGGCATGCCAGCGTCACGATAACTAACAAGTCCGACGACCAGAGCGCCCATCCCCAGGACGAAAGTGTTTCCCTCTTGGGCCCGGACCGACGGCTTGGAGTCTTGAGCCGATGCGTACGAGATATCCGCCGTCGGATCCAATTAAGTTTGCGCGGACGCACTGTTGGTGTTGGTTTGCCTTTCGGTGGATCCGATGTCCGTCCTGTTTCACGAGAATCCGATTTCTATCCCGTTACGTTATACGAGTGATCTAACAGGGGGGCCGGGGGGAATCGAATCCTCGGACCCTACAACCGCAACCCACCCGTGTTAAGATTATATGCGGAGGAGGACGGTTCGGTTATCACCTTCCCAGGATGGGTCCTGCGCTGTCTCGCGCACTCTCATCAACTCTCCGCGCACGCGGGCCCCACTCGACATAAATAAATATATCTCCTCCTGGCTGCTGCAAACAACTCGCCCAAACCTCGTACGTTCGGCAGCGCAGACGCTGTCTCGCGAACTCCTCATCGCCGTTTTCACCTCAAGAGGAAATGCTTTCGTCCTGCGTAAGTATGTCAGGCGACACCGAGGGAAAAACGATTGCATGCATCAGACATCACTCCGTTGAAAATCCCAGAATTTCGCGACAGTGGCAACAGTCAAGCAGCTAGGAGCGCCCAGGGTATTTTTCTGCAACAACAGCCACATGTCGGCGTTGCCCCTGTTGGCTCGCGCGCGTGAAGCCCGCAGCGCCCAGGGAGGGGAAATCCAAGCTGGATCTGAGTAAGACGTCACCCCGCTGGACCTCGCAAGGAGCTCACGAGAGTGGCGACAAGCAGCTGGCAGCGCCGAGGAAGGAGTGGGCTTTGTCGGGCCTGCATGAGACGCCACTCCACTGGACCTCGCAGGAGCTCACCAGAGTGGCGACCAGCAGCCAGCAGCGCGCAGGCAGGGGACTCCTCGCTCGGGTTTGCGTAAGACGCCACCGCGCTAGACCTCCCAGGAGCTGACAACAGGTGAGCAGCTGGCAGCGCCCAGGGAGGGCACGTCTTGGTCGGGTCCGCACAGCACGTCACAATGCCGGACCTCCCAGGAGCTCACGAAGGTGGCGACGGTTAAGCAACTGGCAGCGCAAAGGAAGTGGAGGTCTTGTTCGTGTCTACGTAAGACGTCACTCCGCTGGACCTCACAGGAGATCACAACAGTGGCTACGGTCAGGCAGCCAGGAGCGCCCAGTGATCTAGGTTGAGCCTGCGTAAGAAGTCACTCCACTGGACCTCTTACAAGACACCTCAAACATTAACTGACGGTTTTTGTGTTCGGCGTTCGCGCGGTCGGCGATACTCGAATGCTGGCATGAGGTCTTTGGCACACACGCAGGGGTGCCCGCAGTGCTCACAGCATTGAAGAAAGCAGTTTCTGACAAGTGTCATAACTATAGGGCGTTTCGATTTTGAACGGCACGTCAAAATATGTTTGACGAGGCCCGTAGGAGCACACGAGAGTGGCGACAGGCTAGGCAGCCAGCAGCGCCGAGGGAGGGGAGGTCTTATTCCGCTGGAACTCCCAGGAGCGTACGAGAGTGGCGACAAGCAGTTGGCAGCGCACGGCGAGGTGAGGTCTTGTTTGAGTCTGCGGAAGACGTCACTCCGCCGGACCTCCCAGGAGCTCACGAGCGCGGCCACTGCCAAATAACCAGCAGCGCTCAAAGAGGGAAGGTCTAGCTTGGGTCTGCGAAAACTTCATTCCGAGAGACCTCCTGGGGAAGCGAGAAGGAAGCAAAGAGGCAGCAAGGAAAGGAGCAGCAGCGCCCTGCTCAAGACGCGTACCCAGCACAGGAGGGTTAGAAGAGGCCAATCGGAAGAAAGCATTGTATATGAAATACGTTTTATCCAACGGCTCGCCGGCTTCAGGTCGATCTGGGGAAGCTCTTCAAAGCCGCAAGAGGCCCCAAAAACTGCCCCAGGAAGGGCCTCAGACGACCCAAAGACGGCTCAGGAACCCCCCAACACACTTCGAGCCCGTCCGAAGAACTTCATGACGACCCCAAGACCCGCCCAGGCGTCTCCAAGATAGTTCAAACGAGCCTCTTCGGGAGAGCTCGGTAGAACCATCGTGCCCACGACCACGAGACCACCGACAGGGACCCCAACAAGCCCCAAAAGAGGGGCCTGGCAGGCCCCAAAGGGGCCCCAGATAAGACCCAAGAAGCCAGGAGGGAGGAGGGGAGATGATGGAGGAGGAGGAGGAGGAGGAGGAGGAGGAGGAAGAGAAGGAGGAGGAGAAGGAAGAGGCAGATAAGGAGTGGGAAGAGGACAATGAGGCTGATGACAAGGAGGGGGATGCTAAATACCCGCGCAGGTTCAGACAGAGCCCTGAACTGGAGCGGGTCTTAAACTGAACCTTCTCCGTGCTGCGCCGCTGTGCAAACAAGGTGGAGGGGCTTGCTGCAGGCTGCCAGATAGCGTGGTACGGGAAGAGGAGGAGGAGGAGCAGGAGGGCGCGGAGACAGACGCTACAACCTCAGGATTAAAGTCCGCTCAACGTCAAAAAGGAGGCGGATGAGGAGGAGAAGGAGGAGGAGTAGCAGGGGAACGGACACGGGGAAGGGGGAGGCGAGGGAGAGGGGGAGCGGGAAGGGGTGGGGAGACAGGGCGGCGGGGATGGGGGGCGGGAGACGGGGACGGGCATGGGATTCTGGAACTTTGGGGATAACGCAGCGCATCCATGACAGCTGCCGCTTTGGGGGGGAGGAATGATGCGGGCAAGGAGGGCCCAGCCCAAAGTCCTGATGGGCGTGGCATGCCATCCTGGCGGGGAGCCGCTGCTCACCGAGTCCTGGGCCGAACGCGGGCCTCTGGAAGCTTGGCCGTGGCAGATCCTTTCCCCCCATCCCGAGGATGGGTCCTCCTCCGCCTCCTCCTCCTCCTCTTCTTCCTCTTCTTCCTCTTCTTCCTCCTCCTCCTCCTCCTCCTCCTCCTCCTCCTCCTCCTCCTCCTCCCCCTCCTCCTCTCCCCCTCCCGAGGAGGGGCAGCGAGGGGGGACGCAACGCCCACCGGGTACGAGCGCTGACGGCTGCGGCTCGGTCGTGCGGAGGGGTGCTCCAGGCGCTCCAGCACGACCACGTCGTGGCCCAGCTGCCCCAGCCCGATCGCGGCGCACAGCCCGCCAGGTCCGCCGCCAACCACGGCGACGCGCATGGCGGCCGCGAGAGCGAGGAGTGCTGCACTGGAACGACAGCACAAAGAAGAAACGTGTCCTTGACATCCGGGCGCCGTGGCAAAATCACGAAGAGCGTTGCTGCCCCTTTCGGGCCCATGGGACCTCACAGATCGCTCTAGCTCGAAACAGATCTAGACACGATGCCGAGAGCTCAGGCGATAGTTTTCCTTGCGCCACAGTGCTCTCCTTACTCCGGGCGGAGGCAACTCGCCACCATCAAAGCCTTTACCGACGAGCACATCTCGGGCCCGAACCTCGACGGACGTGAGGCCTCCCAGCCCTGTCGTGGAGCTGGTGTATCCACCGAGTTCTGGGCCCGGAAGCTGGGCGTGCGGATGCCCCGGAACGTGACGCAGACCCTCCTCCTCCTCCTCCTCCTCCTCCTCCTCCTCCTCCTCCTCCTCCTCCTCCTCCTCCTCCTCCTCCTCTTACTCCGCTTGCTCCTCGGCCGACCGGGAGGGGGGAGGAGAGGGCGAGGAGAAGGAGGAGGAGGAGGGGGAGGTGGAGGAGGAGGAGGAGGAGGAGGAGGAGGAGGAGTAGGCAGCGCAGGAGGGCGAAAGGGGGGGAAAAAGTGGTGGCGGCATCGGCAGCGGCAGCCACAGCAGCGGTAGCTGGGCATCGTGAGGGAGGCGCGAGGGGCACAGGAGCGTGTGCGAGCGAGCGCGGGGAAGAAGCAGCCACGACAGGCATAAAAGAAGCAGAAGCGTTTTTTTTTTCAAATATAAGAGCGAATGAGAAAATGGGGCACTACAACCCCGTGCGAAAAGCAACTGGTGTTTGGCGAGCCCCCCGGCCCCCCATTTCAATGTTGATCGCGCGACCGGCCAAGTTCGAAAACAACATCGGCACCGCATTGAACATTGAAATTGGGGGAGTGGGAGGAGGGAGATGTGTAGAAAAACACCAGTTGCTTTTCTACACGGGGGGTAGGCCAAGCATGGGAATAGGATTGCAACGGTGCTCACCAGCATAGGTACAGACGTCGAGGAGGACGAGGAGGCAAAGCGTCAGTCGTCACTGGCTTCGGCTTCGCTCCAGGCAGTACCTTGCCTCACGGTAGGCACTCGGGTCTTCTCAGGTGATGCTCGTCACTCAGCTTCCGCCAATTCCCAGGCCACCTCACGAACGCTCGCCAACTCAGTCGACACGAACCAGTCCACTGAGGAAAGACACATTCGCTGGTCGGTCCTGATGGCTTCATGGATCTGTCAAGCCTTCCCTGGCGGTACGACTGTTGAACTCCACCTAGCACGAACATCTATGGCCAGCAGGCGTCGGGCCGACGCTGAGATGAGCAGCAGACACGCCACCGAGCATCTGCCTGCTGCTCCTGAGATCTGCATAACGGAGCGGAAAAACGGAGACTATCAGGACGCGGAGGTGGTGAACGATCAGAAAGCGGCTACACTGAAAAGCTGGACAAGGGAGCGGGGGTAGGAAGAGGCCTCCTCCTCCTCCTCCTCCTCCTCCTCCTCC